AAGGATTTACAGTTTTTTATCGTTTTTTTGGCCATTTGAGCATAAAAGTTGTCATTATATATCTTGCCATGGGTCTCAAGAAAGCCATTGCTAAGGTTCAACATAAGAAAATAGCTGTGAGTAGAGGCAGTAGAGGATGTCCCTTCTTGATTAAGAAAATGTGTGAAGTATGGGAAGAACTGCAAAATTTTGTTGAAAAAACTCACCCAGATAAAGCTGTAGCAGGCCGTTGCATTGACCTTTTAAATGATAATGTGATGTCTTACTACAGACAAGTGTTAAAATGTAGGGAAAAACAAGTGTCATTAGATAAATTTTTAGTAAAACAAGCAAGTCCTAGTGGTATGCAGGCAAAATGTGCCAGTGTGTGCATACCAGTGAAGTCCTCACTGCCTGATGTGATAATGGAAGGGGACTCCCCTTCCAAACAGTAACTCCTCTCTTCCTCCCCCCTCCTCACCATCTTCCATACGCCTACAGCACTCGACAGCAAGGTAAGTAATAACTTGAACATAGTTTTGTAGGTTTATTTAGATGAATTAGGTATAAAAATTTAGTTTGATGTTGGTTTTTTGGGGTAGTCAGGAACGGATTAATTCATTTCCCTTTATTTCTTATGGGGAAATTAGCTTCGGAATGCGAGTTTTCGGAATACGAGGCGTCTCCAGGAACCAATTAAACTCTTAAACTGAGGTATGCCTGTACGTCCATATTCGGCCATACGGGCAAACGGCCAAAAGCGACATTCTTTTTAAGAGGACAGGTTGCTCAAACAGCCTTACTACTGCATCAGTCCCCAGAAGAAGTAACGCTATAAGAAGTACAATACCTCAACAGTAATGTACTAGTGACACCCTATAAGTCCCCTTGGGCCTCATCCTGTATCCTGGTAACCAAACTTCATAGCTAGGCAAGACTGTGTACTGACTATAGAAAAGTGAACTCTGTCACAGTTAAAGGCTCTTACCTCTTGCCATGCATCGATGATATCCTAGATGCAAACGGGAATGCTAAGTTCTTGTCTCAAATATACATCTCTTAAAGAGATGTTTATTACGACCTCTTAAAAAGCTATTATCAAATAGGACTTACTGAGTGTGCTAAGGACATCTCTGCTTTCACCACTCCTTTCGGCCTCTTTAGGTACGAACGCTTACCTTTTGGACTTTGCAATGCCCCAGCTACCTTCCAGCGAGCTGTCAACATAGTCATCCAAGATCTTGATGACACCTACTGCTACTGCACAGAGGCAAAACCCTAGACAAGTGATTACTTGGATGACAATGTTGTTGCTACGAACACCTGGGAAGAACACCTACTCCAGTCGCAACAACTATTCTGCAAACTGCACTTGGCTGGTCTCACCATTAATTTTGTTAAGTCCACGTTTGCTAAAGGTAAAGTATGCTAACTTGGTCATGTCATAGGCAGTGGAAGTATAGAAACTTTAAATGTACACCTTAAAGCTATCCAGCAGTATCCACAGCCAGCATCTTGTAAACAACTGATGAGATTTTTAGAATGAGCATCCCACTATAGAAAAATGTTTAGCACTGTTGCTACCCCTTTAATCAACCTCACCAACACTAAAAGGAAATTCATTTGGACTCCCCCCCCAATCCATTGCCTTTGATCAATTCAAAATTTTACACACAGAAATGACAATAGCGTGATGCATCAAATGAACAAATCCACAAGGGCGGTGACGAGGATTCAAACCTACGTCCGAGAGCATCCCAGATGCTGCCTTAATCGACTGAGCTACGACATGGTAAAAAGAGTTGAAACCAGAAGTTCTACTGAACTTACTTGAATCCTGCAACCTCTCCGAGACACAAACCAGGGTTTTACAGGGTCTATTGTGATTTCTGTGTGTAATGAAGTAAGGGCATAGAGATAGAACGGCCTATTGACATAGCTCGAGTGCATGGGGGAGTTGTGTAAAACCCTGGTTTGTGTCTCGGAGAGACTGCAGGATCCAAGTAAGTTCAGTAGAACTTCTGGTTTCAACTCTTTTACCATGTTGTAGCTCAGTCGGTTAAGGCAGCGTCTGGGATGCTCTCGGACGTAGGTTTGAATCCTCGTCATGGCCCTTGTGGATTTGTTCGTTTAATTCAAAACCTTGGTGTGAACTAATTACATTCTCGCCTCGCCAGATGTGAAACGACCCCTTCATCCTTAATGTTAATGCCAGCAGAACCGTAATTGGTAGAGCTCTGATGCAGCAGCGAGATGAAGGATGGTAGATGATGATCTACCTGTCAGCTAATACAGCTACAAGCTGAAGCCCCGTCAGCAAAACTACAGCACCATTGAAAAGGAGTTACTAGCCATCGTTCTATGCCTACATCTACAAGGATGTCTGCAGGGACACCAGTCACTATTTATTCACACCACAACCCTCTATGATTTCTACAACAAGCGCAATTCTCCAATCAACGTTTACTACATTGGGCTGTATCTACTACTGTATCTACTGTACCTACAAAATTACAACTGATGATATACATCAAGGGATCCGACAACATTGTGGTGTGGCAGATGCCTTATCTCATGTTCATGAAGCGGAACCTCCCACTTCCACTGCTCCTCCCGTATCAACATTTCAGGCAATAGGAAGAGGCAACAGGAAAGAGCTGTCACATAATTCCTTAGCATAGCTGGAAAAACTGCCTCTTCACTCTTACCTGTCACTGGAAGATTACTCACGACACTTCCTCCGGACCAAGATACTCCATAAAACGTCCAGTATGAAGTTCCACCAAGCTCCAGACAAATATCTAGACAACCCTACCAGAATACCCACCACCACGCCCAAGAATTGCCCGTTACACTTCCGGCGACTCGTTGTCGTCAACCGTGACAAAGGATGTGACGTTAAGGCTATAGGTATCCCTGACTCCCGCCATCTCATCAATCTCTCTTCTGGAGCTCAGGGATTAACATTATGGTCTTGTCGCTACGATTGTCTCAAGGTGCTTTTTGTACTGGTTGTAGTGTATGTGTACTGTGTATAGTATTCTCTGTCACCCATCTTTTGTGTTAACGTACATTTTTATATATTGTATATTATTCTTGATTTTGAGTGTTAGCTGTGTGTCAGTTCAATTTCTTTCTTTATTTTGTCACAATACCCATCCTGTGGGTATTGGGTGCAAATGTATTGGGTTTTCACATGTGGGTATATGTACATGTGTTATATATGTACATGTGTTACATTTACATGTACATATATACAATCATTTACATAAATACATATACAGTACATATCAATACTCTCTTTATATCACAAGTGATTCAACAAGAGGCTCAAAACAGTCACTCTACAAGGCACTTTACTTCTATGGTGAGTCATGCAATTACCAGCCTTGCTCCACACCCACCCTGTGTGCCAAGTAAAGGGTTTATGTGTATTTCAGATATTATTTATTTATTTTGATCATAAAGTAAATTGTTATCATTTTTGGACCAAGAATTTCTTTACTTACTCCTGCACAGATTTCACGCTGCATTTTTATTTTTAGTGTTACACGAGTGCCACATTCCATGTGTGCGGTACAGCCGCAGTACTGTAACACGTCATGCCCCCCCCCCTATACCCATCACATTTGGTAGTGGGAAAAGTTACAGGGGCACAAAATGAACTCACAAAATGCCCCAATATTTTCTGTTTCCACATCCTTTTAATCTTTTATGTCCTACCTTATTTGTCTTTCCTGTTCTTGTTATTATTTTTCTTACTACTACTCCTTCTCCTCCTCCTCCTCCTCCTTAGCCTCCTACTCCTCCTCCTCCTCCTCCTCCTCCTCCTCCTCCTCTTCCTCCTACTCCTACTCCTCTTCCTCCTACTCCTACTCCTCTTCCTCCTACTCCTCCTCCTCCACCTCCTCCTCCTACTCCTCCTCCTACTCCTCTTACTCCTACTCCTCTTACTCCTACTCCTCTTACTCCTACTCCTCTTACTCCTACTCCTCCTACTCCTACTCCTACTCCTCCTACTCCTCCTCCTCCTCCTCTTCCTCCTACTACTACTCCTCCTCTTCCTCCTACTCCTCTTCCTCCTCTTCCTCCTATTCCTCTTCCTCCTCCTCCTCCTCCTCCTCCTCCTCCTCCTCCTCCTCCTACTCCTACTCCTCCTACTCCTCCTACTCCTCCTACTCCTCCTACTCCTCCTACTCCTCCTCCTCCTCCTCCTCCTCCTCCTCCTCTTCCTCCTTCTTCTACTCCTCCTCCTCCTCCTTCTACTACTCCTCCTCCTCCTACACCTCCTCCTCCTACTCCTCCTCTTCCTACACCTCCTCCTCCTACTCCTCCTCTTCCTACTCCTCCTCCTCCTACTCCTCCTCCTCCTTCTACTACTCCTCCTCCTACTCCTCCTCTTCCTACTCCTTGTCTCCACATTCCTTCTTCCCTTTCTTCACTAACTTATCTACCACTGCAAATTAATGGTATGATACAAAGCTACAGATTTCCTCATTCTGTGCCTGTAGACATAATTTGAAACATGATTGTGGGTGGCCCAAAAATAGCCCTCCAGGATATCCTCATTTGCAGTGTTTATAATATTATAGTTCAATAATATACATTTCTGGTTATCTGTTCATCTCCACTAACATACATTTTCCTCAGAACACCTCTACCGACAGAGAAGGACTGGGAGTACTATCTTGCTCTGTGAACTCCTCTTCCTTAACAGGGAGGAAAGGGAGTACCTTTGCATAAAATCATCCAGGTCATCCAGGCATTTGAAATGTCTTTCAAAGTTTCAACTCAAATGAGCAATATAAACATAACTGCTGAAGAAGACCACACACAGCAATTACTTGGCTGTTTCACAAGAGAAACAGTAAGTAAATGCAGCACAAAAAATAGGAAAGAAAATTGAAACAAAGGTGTTGACAAGGAACAAAGGAATAACAGAAAAATAATGAGACAAGAGCAATTACAGAAACAATGGATCTCCTTTTATAATGAAGAAATATTTGCCAATAAAAACTCACTTGTTCAGCAATGACGGCCCATATTTCATGGACTGAAGATGCTGGACATCATCATCATTGGGATAATTGATCTTATTCAGAGTTTTTTCAAACAATTTGAAGTGGGTGATGCCTTCAAGGACCTGAAATGAAAAATTTAAGTTAATGAAATACTGTACTATATAAAAAAAAACATATACAGTGTATGAATATAACCAGATATAGCAGATTTAAAAGGGAATGTCATCTCTTAGTAGTCCCCAAATAATTCTTCAATTGCATTAAAGGTAATTCCCCATTTAAGAACGAGTGTTAAGTTCCGAGACTGTTTGTAATGAAGTTGTTCAGAATGTGAATAGAGATTTTCCATAGGAGTAATGTTATAAATTGAAGACAAGTTTCCAGACCACCAAAATTCCTCATAAAACCAAAATTTTTCGGACATATAATATAAAAATACACAGTGTTGAATGTAATTAAACTAAATTTTCTGATACCCAGAGGCTTCTTGAAGCTATCTGAACTATATTCAGATTAATAACCAGAATTACCCTGTGCAATCTACATCCAAAAATATCAAAATAACCCCCCTTAGAAATGAAAGTAACCCAACAAGCAACACTTCATGTATTCTTTCTCATTAGTGCAACCCCCCCCCCCCTCCCTTGCAGGGGAGGATGTCTAATCTGAAGTGCTTATGAGTTGCGGTGTGCTCCTTATACCAAAAAAACAGCGTTGAATGTAATGAAATGCCATTTTCTGGGTGAGTCCCGGAGGCTCCCCGGAGCTATCCATGGCTGATATGGATATCCAAACTATTTTGCATCAGTCGATGTGGGTGGAGTTCTAGCCTACCGGGGACCACGAGCCAGAACCTTGCCCCCTCACAGAGGCATGGGGAGCAATGGCCCATAGAATGCACATGTGATTTGGAGCATTCCATATCTGCCATCGACCAGGACAGGCACCCAGAAAGGTAAGCGCCACAAAACAAACCCCTATTCTGGTTAACAACAAAAATTGACAAACGAGTAGACAGAACTCCCCAAAAGAAAAACGAGCAAAGAAGCATGACGTCACACGAGCTGTGTCGCATGTCTGCACAGCTCCCCCCTCCCCGGGAGGGGGAAGGGTGACGTCCGGACCTCCGAGCCGGCGATCCACGCCCAAGTTCAGAGGCTGGATATCAAAAACCGCGAAAAAAACACCGACCGGAGGGCGGGAGGGATGCCGGGGAGCCTCCGGGACTCACCCAGAAAATGGCGTTTCATTACATTCAACGCTGGTTTTCTGGGGGGAGCCCCTACGGCTCCCCGGAGCTACCTCACACAAGACTACCTAGAGAACCAAGGGGACTTACCCGGGAGGACCGCCAGGAAATTTCATACTGCCGCCGAGAGGAAACTCGCAGGTGAGAAACCAACAAGGAAGCCACCTGCTCACCATAAAGATGGCGATAAACACGAGTCAAAAAGACCAAACTCGGAGAAGAGCAAACCAGTCACGTACCGGACCGGCCCGATCTCCTGAAAGAGGCGGAGCCACGGAAAACCCTCCAGGTACAGACACCGGGCAAGCAGCGCCTGAAACCACAGCTGGGTCGGCCACCACGGGGCCAAGAGGACCACTCGACCCTGGTAAGTCTCCAAGCGAGCCATGACCTGGTGCAGCAGCTGAACCGGGGAAAGGAAGTACTGTACAGGAACCCCCACCTCGACCAGTCCTGCCAAAAAGTGTCGATCTTGACAGCCTCGTAGTCGGGGAAGGGCGCCACGTAAACCGGAAGATGCCTCGACCACGCCGACGCGAAGAGGTCCACCTCCGGGCACCCGAACGTCCAGCAGAGCCAACTGAAGAAGTCAGCATCGACCGTCCATTCCATGGACAGGGGAACGAACCTGAACAGGCCGTCCACCAGGACATTGGACACCCCCCCGGACGTGAACCGCCAGGAGAGCTAAACCCTGAGAACTCAACAGACGAGTCACCCGAAGCAACCAACCTCGAAGAGCCAAGGACCGCATTAAACACTCTAGGTTCAGACAGTGAACCACTGGGGAGCAGTCCGAATGGAGCCGGATCGTCGATCCGAGGGCGACTCGAACACCCCGAAGCGCAAACCATACAGCCGCGAACTCCCGCACCATGCTGTGGACCCGAAGGAAGGACGGACCCCACCGCCCCTGGCCGGCCTGGTGAGCACTGGTCACAAAACTCCAGCCTAGAGACGACTCATCCGTGAACACAGCAAGCGAGGGCTTGGGCAGGTGCCAAGGCACTGAACCCCGAAAAATCCGAAGAGGAAGCCGGCGACACAGCAGCTGACACAAAGCCCCCGGGGGTCGAACCCAGCGATCGCGAGAGAGGCGGAAGGGACGTCCCCGAAGGAACCAGAACAGCCGACAAAGCCAAATCCGACCTGGCGGGTAGACCAATATCATGACACGGAAAGACCAACATCGAAGAAAGAAACAAGGAGGCGGTCCGAGAGTCCCACACAGGACCCAGCCAGGACCGAACCTGGGAGGGCACCAGATGGGACTTCCGCCAGTTCACCAGGAACCCGAACCCGGTGAGCTGGGAAAGCCCCAAATCCATGGCAAGCAGACACGCGGACTGACTGGGAGCCCAAACCAGCCAGTCGTCGAGGTAAGCCAACACCCGAACACCTAACAGACGCAGACGGGCCACCACGACCTGGGTAAGGCGTGTGAACATGTGAGGTGCCAGGTTCAACCCGAAGGGCAGACAACGAAAGCGGTAGCACTGACGCCCCACCACAAAACCGAGCCAGTCCCGGAACCCCACATGAATAGGGACGTGCCAATACGCGTCCTTGAGGTCCAGGGACACCATCCAAGCGCCCGGCTCCAACAGAAGCCGGACCTGGGACAGAGTGGTCATCCGAAACGAGGGGCAAGAAACCCAAGGGTTCAGACGGGACAAGTCCAGAATGAACCGCAGGTCCGCACAGTCCCGTTTTGGAACTGGAAACAGGCGGGAAACCCACCTGAGGGACGGAGTCGTTTCGACCACACCCAAGCGCACCCACTCTAAGATGACCTGACAGAGCGCAGGAGAGGAAGCCTGCCCTGTCAGCCCCGAACCCCCAGAAGGAGGCGGAGGACCGAATGAACCACCGAAGGGGAAGAACAAGGGGGCGCGGACAGAACCAAGGCCGAAGCGACCAACACCCCCAAGTCAGGGTCCTTATACACAAAGCGGGGCAGCCGCGGGGCGTCCGGAGAAGCAAGAACCCGTGCGCGTTGCAACAACCTAAACCTACCATGCAACGCACGGGCTGCCTGCACCCGAAGTAACTCATCAGCAGACTGGGTGAATTGAGTCACAAACAAGCAACACAGCTCGCAGGACTCGAGGTCGAATGTGTCACCGACCCAACAGGCAGCATGATGGAGGCAAAAACAATGAGAGTCACCCAGAGACAAGGGGACAGAGCAACCCTCAAACTCGCACACAGCGAGAAGGGACGCAAGCGTCTCCTCCATCGGACCCAAGAGCCCCCGCGGGGTTTCCCAGCGCCTCTAGACTGGGTCTGCTATGGGTTATCCCAGGCAGGGCACTGCTAACCGGCACCCCAAACTACCAAGCAATCTGCTAAAAGCTGAACCCACTGGACGTGTCCACTTGCGAGGGCGAAGCAGGGGGTGCCACCACACAAACGACCCTAATATAAAGGAAGGGGAAAAACAAGGCAGACCTCCCCCCACCAGGCAAACACAAAAAGAAAAGAAAAACCGCCCAAGTGGTCAACGTACCCAGAGGGAACAGAGCCGGCCGCCGTTAGAGGTGAAAACTAGCTACGCAGTACCCTGCGCCCCACCAGTGCTATAACTGCCACTTACCCGAAGGTAAACAAGGGAGGAAAACCCCCAACACTCAGGGCGGCCAAACGCCAAGCAGCGAAGAGCCAACAGAGGTAGACCCAAGGTGACTTGTGGAAGGCAACCCCAAGCCCCAAGGGTGGTACTTACAGGGCACTCAGGGAAGGTGACCCTAAGCACATGCAGCCCGAGTACCTGAGAATACTACTCCCAGCTCACACGACCACCGTAAGAGCAGCACTGAAAACCAAGTCACAGCACTGAAACAACATTGGAGCTGGAGCCACTCGATCATGCACTATCCCATCAGCCGAGGAACTGAGGTGTGGATCGCCGGCTCGGGGGTCTGGGGCTCCCCCTTCCCCCTCCCGGAGAGGGGGGAGCTGCGCAGACATGCGGCGCGGCTCGTGTGATGTCATGCTGGTTTGCTTGTTTTTCTTTTGGGGTGTTCTGTTCACTCGTTTGTCAATTTTGTTGTTAACCAGAATAGGGGTTTGTTTTGTGGCGCTTACCTTTCTGGGTGCCTGTCCCGGTCGATGGCAGATATGGAATGCTCCAAATCACATGTGCATTCTATGGGCCATTGATCCCCGTGCCTCTCTGAGGGGGGCCAGGTTCTGGCTCGTAGTCCCCGGTAGGCCTAGAACTCCACCCACATCGACTGATGCAAAATAGTTAGGATATCCATATCAGCCATGGATAGCTCTGGGGAGCCGCAGGGGCTCCCCCCCAGAAAGGGCGCAAAGCACCAACACTGAAACACCGCCCAGACCAAAACAAACTCTACAGCGCATGCGCATAACACGCTGACCGAACCGCACAACCCTCTCTGCGGGATGGCGCCAACCAGGACTACTGCACTAGAAAAGTAGCCAAAAGAGGAAGCAGGAATAATAAAACCAGCCAACAAAGCAAAGACAGAGCCCAAAAAGGAACCCAACTGGGCCACAAGCAGCAAAACAAAGCAACAAGTAGCCCAACAAAGCAACAAGTAGCCCAACAGGGCTACAAGTAGCCCAACAGGGCCACAAGTAGCCCAACAGGGCCACAAGTAGCCCAACCGGCCCACAAGTAGCCCAACCGGCCCACAAGTAGCCCAACCGGCCCACAAGTAACCCAACCGGCCCACAAGTAGCCCAACCGGGCCACAAGTAGCCCAACCGGGCCACAAGTAGCCCAAAACGGCGACAAGGACGAGGAGCCGACAGACGTTCCAATAATGCTGGAAGTAGCGAAAAACCTTCCCGAACCCTCGAGAACACAGAAGTCAACACTAGTCCCGAAGGCACACAAAGGCG